CCTTTGTAAAGAGATAAAGTGGGATAGTAATCTGAGTCTTGCTGTTGCATTTTGGCTTTGAAGGACTAGTGAGAGTTGCGTTAGTCTAAATACAATGAAACAAAATCAATAATTACAGTTTTAGTAGCTATTAAGATATCATAGGGCAGGCTTTTAGCTGTGTTTCTTAGGTGAAAATAACTGGAGGAAACAAGTGACCTAGCTCAGCTATTATCAGGAATTTGTGGGTTTGTGTATGTTACAGTACACCAGTTTTGTTTTCCCTTCACTGGCTCCCTGCCAGAATTGATTTTAAAATTCTCCTGTTAACATTTAAGTTCCTTAATGGACTTGCACCATATCTCTCTGAGCTATTGTAACCATATGTTCCTTCCTGGGCCCTGAGATCATCCGATCAGCTGCTTTGGGCTATTCCAAAAACAAGTTTGAAGCGCAGAAGTGATCGGGCTTTTTCAGTTGTGGGCCCCAAACTTTGGAACAATCTGCCCCCCAACATCAGGCAGGCCACTTCACTTCCTGTTTTTAAATCTCTTGCTAAAAACACATCTGTTCCCCCTGGCTTTTTACACAGTGTGACTTGATTTAGTATTTTATCGCTCCGTTTTTCTTTTGATGCTTTTAATTAATTTTCAGTACTATCGTTATTTTTATTGTTACTTTTTGTTCCATGAAATTACTCCCATTGATTTTACTGTTGAGCAGTTTGGTAACAGCTGCTGTTTTAAATGTGCTTTATCAATAAAGTTGACTTGACTTAAATGTTAGGTTGGTGATTAAAGATGGCATCAAAGTTTTAAGCACATCATTGTAAACATCTGAAGACCCAAAGAAGTGAGGTAGGGATGTGTTAGCAGGAACATAGTTTGAAGCAACACATCAGTGCACATTAATTTTTTTTAGATGAAGAAAACCCCAACCCATTTATGCAATCATAAAATTGGTGTGATAAACAAAAACTTACTTAAAGTTAGCCAGAAATACAACTTATTATATTTGCATTCAGCTGCATATTCTCAATATGTGGTTTATGAGAAGCTAATTAAAAAATATAAAGATTGTTTCACCATCTCGGCACACTCCGTTGACAGTATTTATTGTGCTAAGAGGGTGAACACCAGGTGTGAGATCATGCAGGGTGTTGTGCATGTCGACTTGCTCTGCTGGCTGCTGTGAGTTTTATTGCATTTCCCAAAGCAGGGAATATGATGTCATCAACATGTGTCTCATCTATGTTTCCTGGTGTGACAGCTGAGCTGAGGATAAGGAGTTTCTGTTCTCATAATAAACTCCAGAAATATTCGTTTCCCCACTCTCGCCCTCACACAAGCTGCTTACTTTTGTCGCTCAGCCACACAATCTTTTTCTACATGTCCCATATTTGCAACCAAAACTTTGACACTTCCAGGAGTAAACAGTCCTCTTTATTTTTTTCTATTAAAATGAATTTTGCACATATGTAACGCAACAATTTAATCATAACGAGATTGGAAATATACAAGATAAAAACAAATAGTTTCTCCCTTTAGTACAAAAACAGGTAACATGAGTGAGTTTTTACAAGACAAATAATTTAAGGTACAATAAAAACACTAAAAACGTGAAAAAAAACATGGTCTGTTGCACAAACTGAGAGAAGGCACTTAAAGCAAAGAATTCAGGAAGACTTAAAATGAGTTTTATAATGACTAATCATGTGGTTTCATTATTCCAAGTCTCATTCTGTCCCATTAATACTCTGAGAACTTGAGATGTGATGCAATGCCTTGAAAGTCACAAAGAAGTCTTTGTAATGCATGACTCTTAGCCCCAACGTTCTTCAAAATTGTGTTTTTCAAAAGTTCAGTCATATAAGAACAGTACAAAGGAGGCAGCCCATTTGTCTCACAGCTTAATCTGAACCAAAGAAAATAAAATCTAACCGTTAGTATGGTCAAAATGACATCTCAAACCAGAATGTTTCTTTCTTCCTTCTATTTTACATCTAACAAAAGGAAACAGTTTTATTTGCCACAGATCAAACAGAGAAATATTATCATATATCTGAACAAGTTGAAGATATTTGTGGGTGCAGAGAGACGTGAGGAGAATAAATGTCCTCGCTGTTTGTTGATGTGTGGTGTCTGTAGCACTCAGTGGATCCATGACAGTGTAATACATGGAGGTTTAGTGCACAGATGTCCGTGAATTTTAAAAAGAAGATAAAGGTTGTAGTTTTAAATTTGACATTTCATATCATTTAATCCTTCACATGAGTGTTCAAATATTAAAAGATTCAGTCGTTGATTCTGTAAATGCTCAAATCAAACTAATGTTTTCAGATTGTCAAGATGACGTGGTCTGATAGCCCAGTTTGACTTTTTGGCAACACAGCATTGATGCAAAGCTTATTTTATTAAAAAAAAAAAAAAAAACGTAAAGGAGTTGTTCAGCTGGTTGATCCCAAGAAACTGTGATGTAGCGGGGCTGGGTGCGAGTGTAAAATGAGCACCCCCTGAGTCAATTAAAAAAACAGTATGGCACAAACGGTTTAAAGTTTTCAAATAAACATTTTTGTCTTTATCACACATTCCTTGTTTATGCAGAGAAAAATGCACAACAGTGTATCTGTAGAACATCTCTTCAATCCCAGTATAAATGATACAGTATTGACATCAATATTATACACTATAAACATACATAGCACATTTATATTTATGAAGCTCTTGTAATTCAGCAGTCTCTTGGGAACAGAGCGTTGCAGATTCTTTGGGCATGAACAACGCAGCTTCAATAAAGTAAGCATTTGTTTAACAGTAAAAATGGTGGAGTCTCTGTGTCTTAGGTTCACGTTTGAGAGGATTAATGTGTCTATGTTCGCTTCATCCCATTTATATAACATGCAGGTAGGTTGCTTTGGTGTCCACTCCAATTACATTTTGGGCAGTGCATCTGTAAAATCCTGTATCCCTGTGGTTTGGGTTCTGTATCACCAAAGAACCTTGGGGGCTCAGGTAGCGGTTGCCATAAATCCGAGGCTGACCCGTCACCCTCAGCTGAATTAGGTCCGGTGTTTCCCAAGTAATCATTGCTCGTGGGGTTGCTATTGTCAGGCAGGGCAGCTCCACAGCAACACCTTGGCTGGTGTAGGTCACAGGAGAGGGGCCTTTTGTGATGCGGGGAGGGTATGCAATGACAATGACTGGAACTGTAAGGACATAAACCGAGGAAGCATCATTACTGGAGACTTTGCAAGTGTAGGTGCCCCTGTCAAAAACAGAGGTGTCCTTAATGATTAGTGTTCCATCTTCATGCACTGTGAAACGACCCGAGTCTCCACTCTCACCCCTGGATAGAACCTTGCCACTGGGTGTTGTCCATAAAAATGAGACCTGGGTTTGAGTAACAGGACAAGGCAGGCTGAGGGTTTCTCCGTTAATGGTACTCACAAGGGGGGCTGTTCTGGTGCTCACTGTGGGCTCAGAGCTCAAGCTTTTGGATGCTAAAGAGTTTACTGAAAGAGGATATTCAGACAACCTTAAGCTCTTCTGCTGAAGTGGTAGAGGTGACACTGGTCTTAAGGTTAAGGACTGAGCTGGATTTAATAAATCACCTGCTTGTGATTTTTTCTCCACTACTCCCTCTTGTGGAGCTCTTGCATCTTCTTGATGCTCTGATACCTCCAGCTCCACCCGGATCAATGTTTCTCCTTTTTCACTTTTCGCTACACAAACCAAAGTCCCACCGTCACTCATTTGAAGACCCCGCAGCTCCAGGGAGCCGTTTCTATGCACAGTGAGTCGACTGCCATAGTAAGGAGCTGGCAGCATGCCGTTTCCAGGAAGAAGCCAGGACAGACGAGGTGCAGGAGAACCTTGAGATGGGCATGGCAAAAGAACTGTCTGGCCTTTAATTGCTCGCTGCTTTACCACACCCTGAGTTGCCCCAGAACTACCATTTATACCATCATTATTTCTTCTACTGTCGCTGTTCTCCTTCAAATTACTATTCCTACTAAACCCATGTCCTGAAACTGTACTGGTACCAGCTCCTCTATTTGACAAACTACTGCTAAAGCTTCCAGCACTTCTTGGAATACCACTTAACCTGATATTGTATCGACTGGTATAAGCATCACTTTTGGTTCTTCCTGCAGTGATATCATAGTTATTTGTCCCAGGATTTCTGTCACTTGTACTTTGACTATGACCTAAACTATTACTTTGACTCAAAATGCTGGGTCTGCTTTTGTTTGTTTCAGTGCCATAAACTTTAGTGCCTACACTCTGTTGTCCATTTGACCCTACAATGATCCCAGCCTTTCCCTGCTGTGTTGTAAATCCACCCGCAGGGCTCTTGAATCCATTTTGATTATAACTTCTCAGGGCAGGATTAGAGCCACCGAAGACTAAGTTTACATCAGTATTCAGTACCACATTACTTATTTTACCATTGTTATCACTGTAGCTGTAATTGCTACCCAGCTTGCTTGTGATTCCACTAGTTCCACTTATTTTTATGTTGTCAACGATGTCTCCAGATCGAATGTAATGGCTATCCTCACGCTCACTGTTAATACTCCAACCTCGTCCTTCTCCCATCTGTCCACTAAGTCCATGGGCAGAGGTCTCAACTTCCAAGCTCACCACAGTGTTTCTCATCCCAGCTGAGTTGCTTGCTTGGCATGTATAATTTCCTGCATCAGTCTTTTGGGCTGAAAGTACCTTGAGTGTTCCATCTGAAACCACCACAATTCGCCCAGAAAAACCAAATTGTAAACTTTGTGGTACGACACGGTGTGCTGGGGAAAACCACTTTACTGTTGGTGTGGGATTTCCCCTGGCCCGGCAAGGAATTGTAGCAGTTTCTCCCTGGCGTACTTTGATGAAACTGTGGCTTTTGGCCTCGGCAAAGGTTGGTGGAGTTGTCTTCACAACCATTACACTGACCTGAAAGACATTATATAAATAAAAGTATTGAATAAATGCCAACAATTAACATTATTTGCTAAAACTTGGCACTGAGTAGTATTTATTAACAGTGTTTTATTGTTTATCACATTTAAATAGACAGCCTTAGTGAAAAAACAAAAACAGTTGAAAGGGCACAATGCATTTTTAATAAAAAAAATTAAAGCTTTCAGGTTTCCATGAAAAGTTGCTCCACTTACCGTCATGGTGTCTTGACCTGCTTGGTTCTCAGCGTAACATGTATACATGCCTTCTTCTCTCATACCCACAGCTGGAACCAGTAACGTCCCATTGTCAAATACAATTAGTTTCTGTGGTCGCCCCCTATTGTTTCCCACACCTCTAACGATGGTTCCATCTGGTAGGCTCCAACGCACAGCTGGGTGAGGCAGTCCAGATGCCTGGCAGTCCATCTGAGGAGGATTAGTGTATCAGTGGTGAATTTAAAGATGTATTATATCTACAATTACCTGCAACAAACTAATGTCTTTATTTTAAACTATCCTGTACACCCAGTGTGAAAAAAGCAGTGCATAAAACATTTAATCAACTATCGATTTAGTGGTGCTCAAAAGGCACCACTAGAAGCACATAAATGATTAAAATGAATCAAAAACAAAAAAGCAGCACATTTCCACAAGAATTTGAGATTTCATTTCTTGCATTCAACCTTCAGGACATTGTTTTTCATCGAGCCCTAAATATTGATTTGTGCATTACTGTTCCCTTAAGGTGGCTGTTTAGGATTCATAAAAGCCTATCTGCTTTTGTCTTTTCAGTTAGCAAACCCTCCCTCAGCCAGGTTTGTCAGTATTTCTTAACAACTGTATGTATCATTTTTTGTCAAATAAATTTTAAGCATTTGCCAAATTTTTTCTACTTAAATGTGACCTGAAACATTGTTAGGACTTCAGATTAGTCCTTCAGTAGGACACAAAGAACCCAATAAATAAATTAAAAAGTATTACATTTATTCATTTATTTATACAGAAAACGTGTTTAAGTTAAATAGCTCAAGGGGAAAAAATATTCTCTGTTTTAGTATTCAAGTGAGGCAATAGCTACAATTGAACCGCATCAACTACGAGATAAAAACTGGCTTCCTTACATCATCCTTTCAGGTACAGGTCTATTCACAATATTTGTATTGGATAACTAATTGTGGCATTTATTCATGTCAATATGTTACTCTTTTAACATGGATTGTAAACTTTAGATTATTAGTAAGCTCAACTCAAATGTGACTATTTGTACTCATTAGAAGAAAGGGAAAGTTGCAGATACATATAGTGGATTTTATCCCTGGTTACCTTCAATGATTTCCCAAATGTCACCAAATGATTAAGTGGTTGTTTTGGCTCAATCTTTGCAGGCTTGGTGGCCACATTCACGTGCAGAAGTCGATAATCATCTGCGACCTTGTTGCGTGCAATACACAGGTAGTCTCCACCATCTTTCTCCGTTACTGCCTGGACTGATAGTGTGCCATTTGGGTGCACTTTCAACCGCTCATCATAGCTTAAAATCAATCATGAACATAATATTATATATGTTAGACAAGGACATAAAATTTAAATAGATATGTTACTGTCAAGGCAATCATGAGATATAAGGACAAAATTAACAAACATACAAAGTCAAAAACTGTACCTGTAGTGAATGTCTACTAGTTTCTTTGCCGGAGACCTCCAGATAATGTTGGGTGTGGGGTTGCCAGTTACAGAGCAGTAAAGATTTAAAGTGCTCCCATAGTTTACAGTGGTGGTGGAGGGTGATGCTGATACAATACGGGCGTTAGTGAAAGGGGAGATAGGCAGCGGCTGCAGAACAGATGAGGCTTTTTTGTCTGCAGGGAAAGAAATAACTCTTGTACTGTTTACACTGTGTGAGACTTTGGTGTTATGTGTTGGCACAGTGGACTGTGAGAAAACAGAGGGGGGATTTGTTTTTTTGATGTCGGTAAAGTGTGAAGGGTAAGCTTTTACTGTTTTATTGATTTTAGGAGGTGAGTTAGAGGAAGAGTTAAAAGGGCTTGGGCTGATCGACAAGTTCCTCGATCTGTCAGAGGGATATACTGGGGAGATTTTCCCAGAGTCGAATGGATCTGAGGGGTGGCTAGGGATGACCAATGTTTTGTCTTTGTTGAAAGAAGATGAATTGGATGTTTTTTGGTCTTTCACTCTTTCAGTTCTTGCCTTTTCTTGGTTTTCTGTCTCTCCCCCTCCTTTAACTTCTACTTTCACTACTCTCTTAGAGGTCCCCACAGCATTACTGGCAGTGCACTCATAACTCCCTGCATCCTTTGGCCCAACTTTGCGAATGTGCAGCGTCCCATTGGGTAAGACAAACAGGTTGCCGTGAAGAAACTGGGATGGACGAACAAGGGTCCCATCTGGGATTCGCCAACGCAGAGTTGGTGGAGGGGCTCCTCGGGCAGAGCAGTGCGCATAAACAGGCCTCCCCGGAGAAAAGAGCAGGTGTTCCTCCTTGGGTTGTTGTATCACCGGGGGCAATGAGGACACGTGTACGCGCACAGAAGCACTGGCTGCACCAGCCAAGTTGGACGCCACACAGCGATACACGCCTCGATCACCAGGTAAGGTCACCGGGACATGAAGAGTTGCATTTGTGTCCACGCTGATTCGACTGGAGGAGGTGACAGCCGAGGTTAGAGTAGAACGATCAGGCAGAACCCAGGAGAGCAATGGAGTTGGAACACCATCTGCTTGGCATTCCAAGTGAAGGTCTCCACCCTGATGAATGGTTACTTCTCTGTAAGTTGCCAGCTGCATACGAGGAGGGCGGGTCCAGACATCCAGGGTAGTAAGCAACCTGTCATGAACAAGTTAAACATACTCATTTTCAATGCTGACACATTAAAAAAAACATCATCTTTAAGCTTTTCACACACACTTTTAAACTAAAACTATCCAAAGGCATAAATAAAGTTTTTCATTTAATTCAGAATCATACAAAAAATAAAGTTTTAATCAAGAGAGGTTTGCATTTGTCTTAAAACAATTTAACTATCATAAATTGTTTTTTATTTTATTTGCAAACTCAAAAAATAGATATAACAATGCAAATTGAAGGCCTACCATTGCTTGAAAAAGTGTATATTATCTGCCATCTTTTGTGCCAGTTCTGATCTTATCTTTATGTTAAGAAGTGATGGATTTGTAGCTGTTTTGGCCAAACATCAGAAATAACTGTATGCACCATTTCATGTGGCACTGTGAGATGTCACAACAGAATATTTGTTGTTTTATAGCTCTCAGAACTTCAACAATAAATTTTACGTCAATATCTGAAACTAACTGATTTATGTTGGCTAATGTCAATTAGCTGTGGCAGCCAACTTGAATCAAGTTGACTCCAAATGTTAATCAGTTGTAGAAGTGCTTCCAATTAGTACTTTCTGAAAGCTCTGTTAAAATCCATACAGGGCTTCATGAGATATTTTAACAGACAGACACAGTTGACTCTAAAGAGTCAACATTTTAAACAAAGATTTTGCGCAATCAAGACACAAAATAGCAAATGGGGCCCAGTCTCAGCTACAACCACATCAGATTGTTGGTCAAGTTTTGTCCATTGTAATAAATTAAAGACAAGATTATGATTTTGTAAGATCCGCTGTGGCAGCCTTCTTGAATTTAGCGAACTCCAAAGTTTAATCAGCTGTAGATGCACATACCTATAGACTCCGTTTTATAAGTTGCATTAAAACTTGTCCAGTGGTTCATAAGATTAATTCGGTAACAGACAGACAAAAGAGCACACACGCAGTCAAAAACATTATTGTCCGCCTTCGCCTTTCAGCGGTATGCAATAATAAGATACCTAATCAAAGGCTTTACCGTAGCTGAGCTTTCTGTGGGCCAAAGTCATTAAAACTGATTGCATTGTGACCCAAGGTCATTGTAACCGAATGTTATACTGAACTGTGCATTAATATGCATTTCAAACATCAGTATTCTCACCTGTCACGACCCAGGAAGCTCATTGCGCTGCAGATATATGTGCCCCTGTCCTGCGGCTGAACATTCTGGATAACAAGGGTGCCGTTTGGCAAGACCTCAAAACGCTGAGCCCTGGAGTGGATTGACATCACTGCTCCTGAGCGGAAAGAAAGGAATGGCAGTGGGGAAAAAAAAAGTAAGTAGACAAAGTTAGGAGGAAGAAGACAATATTGCAAAGAAAGTTAGAATGTAAAAAAAAAAAAAAGAAAAACAGAACCACATTGAATGGCACAGCTTGAAGTAAAGTCAATGATGCGATGCACAAAATGTTTCATGGCTTGTTTTTCCCATGTGAGGAATCATAAAAAAGCTTATTATGTGCATGTCAGTATGGATGCTTGGTGTTAATGTTTATCTTTTATATACAGCATATCATCATAAAATGTGTTCATAGTTGATTGGTTATACAACATAAGCAATAAAGCTGAACTTAATTTCCTTCACAAGTGTTGATGTTACATTAATCTGAAGATTTAACTATATTTTTTAAAAGGTTCAGCATATGTTTTTGTCTTTTTTTTTTAAATTCATTAATCTTCTTTGATTCCTTCATCCACAGCAAATATTTTATTTCTTGTAAAATAATCATTAAAGAAATAGGTGTTTGATGTAGTTGTAAGTGATGAGAAAAATCTATAACAGAGCATAAAACTGATTTTATGTGACTGCATTTATACATGCAATCTGACTTTTAAACATTTCTCTGGCTCAAGTGAAAATTCTTCGGTTTAAATGTGTTTTATGCTTGAATAGGTGTTCTTCTATTTTGTGCAAACCTGTGGCAGACTTAGTCCATGTGATGAAGGGTTTGGGGTGTCCTTGAGCTTCACAAGTCAGCCTGGCAGTGCTGTTTGCTGGCAGTGAGACTGTCCTGATATGTGGATTTGCAATCCACGGTCTGGATCTTACAGTTGGAGCCTGTGCAAAAGATTATGAAGATGTCTTAGTTAAATAAAAGTAGAAGCCAGATCATTAAGAACTTTTAAATGACATTGTAAAATCCTGAAATAATTATAAAGGAACTAATGGTGCTAATGTGTTATTATCTTTTTAAATGTGTCGAGTCCCACAAGAATATGAATGTGTTACAATGCAAATCATAATACAAATAACCACAAAAAAAAAAAAAATCAAAATAAGTAGGAAATATGTTGTATGTAAATTCCTTGATTTAAAAAAAAAATACTATTTTGTTGTTGAATTTCGTTGCTATTAACTTTTTTAAAGAAAGTAATTTAGCCATTATCTGGATATAATCAACTTGGTATTCAATAAATTTAATGCTGGCTTTAGCGTGATGTTAGAATGACTCACTGAAGGCAGACCCTGAGATGTGGTCTACAGAGGCTCACCAACAGACTTCTAGAAATCAGTTGAGGTTTGATTATTTTAAACCTCCTGGAATTAAGCTTTTTTTAAATAGTTTTATTCATTATGCGTTTGTCATTTCTTCTTTAATCTCTTACAAATATCTGAAAATTAATCAAATTGGAGGATGGTCATAAACCTCCATTAGGTCATCTGGACACAAATCAGGCAGTTTTCAGCTAAACATTTGCCTTTGATGTCTTCAAAGTGCATGGCTCAATGCTGCTCTACAAAGTGAGAAAAATAGCTATTAATACATTAACAAATAGGCAAAAATGACCTTAAATATATTGTCCATGCTCTCGTTAAATGCACTGATACATACAGTTCTGAACAACAACAAATATACAATATATACTGTAGACAGACAGACAGACAGACAGACAGACAGACAGACAGACAGACAGACAGACAGACAGACAGACAGACAGACA